CACTTATAATCCTGCCATCAGATATTAGCAGTGTTAATACTGCTAATGTCTTCCACGTACTTAGTACTCAAAGACATTTCTATCTCAGAGCCCTTACCCTGTTTTCGCACCAGCAGTGCAGGCTAAGGCAGGGCCTCACTCGTTGCCGCATGTTGGGCGCTTGGTCTGTAGCAGTAACTTCCTCAGTGTGCGCTCTCCCTGCAGTTCTCGTATCTCCAGTCCACCTGATCAGTAGGTGTGAGGTTCATCTAACTGAAGTTCCAGGACAGAAGCTTTCTTTACCCTGTTCCACAAAGGGTCAAGTCCCAACTGCCCAGCTTGGCTTCTGGAACCCTGCGCGCTCAGTTCTAGTCGACTGTCACAGTTTCATTTCCCTCCCTCTCCCCTGTCAAGGTTTCTCAAACTTGATTCTGTTGACATTTTGGGCTGGATCATTCTGTGTTTGGAGGCCTGTCTCATGCATTGTAGGCTGCTTAGCAGCAGCATCCCAGTAACCCAGTCAGCCTTCCAAAAGTGTCTGCACACTGCCAGCGTCTCTTGAGGGTGCAGTTGCCCCCTGTCGAGAACTGTTGACCTGCTCATACTGCATGCATCTGTGCAGCTGAACGGCACGTGCAGCCTGCGCCTGGCTCCAGCCCCAGCGTGATTGTCCTCTGATATTTCACAGTTAGCTGGGGAGGAGGTTGTCATTTGGCTGTGTTCAGCAGGAGACCAGGGGTTGTGGGGAGACAGTGGAGGAGGCTGAGGGAAGAGGACCGACCATGCAGATCGAGGTCACAGGAGGGCAGGACGGCCGGGTGGCAAGGAGTTAACCTGAGGAAGAAGGCAAATAGCTTTCCAAAATGGGTGAATGTACAGGGAGACATCTCTGTGGGTACCAAAAAGAAGCGGGGTTATGGGGCTGGGGATTTAGCTCAGGGGCACTGCGCCTGCCTGGCAAGTGCAAGGTCATGAGTTTGATTCCTGGTACCGGAAGAAAAGACAAAAAAAAACAAAAAAGCAGGGTTAGATGATGGCTAGCACACTTCTCGCTCCACAGCCCTGTTTCTGGCGGATGTGAGGCTGGGGACTTCTCAGCTGAGGGAGCTTGTGGGACCCACGAGTGACCCAACGTACTGTGTCTCTCTCCTTCAGCTTCCTGGGAAAAAGGATTTGTTCATTGAGCCAGATCTCATGAGCCCTTTGGATCGGATTGCCAATGTCTCCATCCTGAAGGTAACAGCCCTCTTTCCTCTTCAAGCAGTTTTTCTTTTGATGAACAGTACAAATTCCTAGAAAGTGACCACCCTTACAGGGTAAGGAAGGGTGGCTGAATCGGGCAGACAAAGGGAAAGGACATGGGTGGGAGAAGTTTGAAATTGTACAAGTTCAAGGAAGTGAACCCTATCACAGACATCACAGAGCTGATGATGTTGCTTGTGTCATTTGTGTATTGTTTTCAATTTGGTTTCCCTGTGGGCAGTTTGAGGAAGGCTTAGCGGGATAGTTTGCAAAGGAGCAGTGTGAGTCCCAGAACGATCAGAGAGAAGCAACCCTGAAGAAGTCCCTCGTCTTTGTGTGATGCTTTGTGGTTTTCAAGCAAGCACCCTTATGTCCATTGTCTTGTGTTCTCCCCATAGCAACACGAAGTAGACAAGCTGTACAAGGTGGAGAACAAGCCCGTGCTCAGCTCCAACGAACAGTGAGTGTCTGGAAGTCTGTCTCGCCGCCATGCTGGAGGAGGTCCCCGGGACACTGGCACCGACCTTTGATCTGTCTTAGCCGAAATTTGGCTCTGTGATGTCTGTGATAGGGTTCACTTCCTTGAACTTGTACAATTTCAAACTTCTCCCACCCTTGTCCTTTCCCTGTCAAATCCATTGCCACCTACAGTCACTGGGGCTTGAACCAGGGCTTCACATGGAGCTACACTGCCTACCCTTTCTTTATTTTTTATTTTGAGACAAGGTCTCACTAAGTTGCCCAGGCCTCAGCTTCCCAGAGTGCTAGGATGACAGACATGTACCGGCATGCCCAGCTATCCAAAAATTATTTTCACAGTGTTCTTATCAAGAACCTTCAAGGCTTTCCATTTCTGACTGGGTAGAGTTCAATTTTTTTTTCTGTTTTTTTGAGACAGGGTCTCACTGTGCAGTTCAGGCTGGCCTTGAGCTCTCTTTGTAGCCCAGGCTGGTCTTGAACTTACAACAATCCTCCTGCCTCAGCCTCCCGAGTGCTGGGATTACAGGCATGCGGCACCACGCCCAGTTTAGAGTTCAAATTGTGAATCATAGATGCCAAGGCTGTCACCAGTGCGGCCTCACATACCACTGTTCAGTTTGTTGTTCATGTGTCCCTGTCAAGCCTCTGCTGACTGTGCTTTGCGTACTGCCCCTCCCTCAGCCTGTCCCTTCGCCCTTCCACTTCTCTGTTTGCTCTGTCTGTACCTCCTGTCCTCGGGCCCTGCCCCTCCCTCCTTGAGCACCTGGTTCCTGCCGGCGCAGGGTAACTCCTCTCCGGATCCTGTGAGCTGTGTACTTGTCCTCTTCTTTGGACACACGGTCAGGAACTGCCTGTTGTCTTTCTGTAATATTTCTCAGACTTAAGTAATGTGTACCTTAGGAGAAGAGATTTTCCAGATCATGGAGAATGCATCCATCAACCTCAACTTAAAAAGCATGATTTCCTGTACTTCCTTATTTTTTATTTTTTTGTTTTATTTTATTTTATTCTTTGTCTTTTTGAAACAGGGTCTCACTATGTGGTTCAGGTTGGCCTTGACCTCACTTTATAGCCCGGCTGGTCTCAAACTCACAATAATCCTCCTGTCTCAGTCTCCCGAGTGCTGGGATTACAGGCATGCACCACCATGCCCAGCTACTTCCTTATTTTTTAGCACTTGATTATTCATATACTCCATATATATGGCTTTTTTACCCACTGGACTATACAGTATTTTAGAACAGGAGCTCCTAGACCCCTCACAGGGCCAAAAAAGCACTGAGCTCCTCACAGTGCCCTATGGTGTGGGGCGATGGCTTCTGGGACTGGCACATGGGAGACCATGGGAACTGGCGTGGCTTTGGAAAGGATGAGCCCTACCAGAAGGGGTTCTTCGTCAAGAAGGGCAAATGAATAAAGAGCTGGCGTTGGTTCATTTTCTTCAAAGTTCCCAATGTCGTGACTTGACTTTTCTTTTTTTCCTTTCTCTCCCATAGGTTGTGCTTCCTGGTCAGACCCCGCATCAAGAATATGCGCTACATTGCCAGTGAGTGGCCTGCGGACTGTGGTACTTGGTGTAACTAAGACCTGGGAGGGGGTGGTGAGATCCCAGTTTTTTGGCCACGGGACCCACCCTTTTAAAGAAGACTATGGCTGAGGGTGTAGCTTAGAATCATGTGAGTTGGCTGCAGCACATGTAGAAGAAGATTGCTGCTACCTGGCTGTCAGTCTGTGGCCTTCCAGGCTTCATTGGTTCTGTCTGTAGATCTCGTCAATGCTGACAAATTGGCCGGCCGAACTCGAAAATACAAAGTGATCTTCAGCCCTCAGAAGGTGAGTAGGTCCTGGCAGAGTGGGAAATAAAGTTGGCCAGGGTGAGGGACTGGGCAGGGGTGGGGCCCAACAGCAGGAAAACCTGAAGGACCGAACCTAAGACCTGCCACTGTATTTTGCTTCATGTGTCCCTGATTGGAAAGCAGAGGGTTTGTCATCAGACTGCCCCAAAACGCCAAGCAGTGTTGTAGTATTGTCAGAGGGAGCCTCTGCACAGAGTGAGTTCTGCCCCATATCTCCAGCCCTTTTTATTTTTTATTTTGAAACAGGATCTCTCTAAATTCCCTAATCTGGGCTTCAACTTGTCATCCTTCTGCCTTAGTCTCCCAGGTAGCTGAGGTTGGAGGTGTGTGCCATTGTACCTGGCTGTACCGCTGGGTTTTTTTGTTATTGGTAGTGGGGAGTTTGAGACAGGGTCTCACTGTATAGCCCAGGCAGGCCTCGAACTCACAGTCCTCCTGTTCAGCCTCCCAAAGTGCTGGGATTACCGGTGTGTGCCACTATGCCTGGCTTGTGTCACTGTTGATTTTGTTCATTTGTTTGTTTTTTTCCGGTACCGGGAATCGATCTCACGACCTTGCGCTTGCTAGGCAGGCACTGTGCCACTGAGCTAAATCCCTAGCCCCTGGCTTTTATCACTGTTTTGTGATTCTGTTGAGCTGTTCTATCCCCTCCACATTAGCTAGGTACATGGCAGGCCCTTCCTCAGCCTCAGTGGTTGGCAAGAATGATGTTCCAGGCCTTTATTCTGCCAGTTATAGGCCTATAAAGCTCTACCAGGTAGTGAACACCACACTTACAGCAGGTAGAAACTAAAGTTGAAAGGACATAGCTGGGTGTGGTGGCCACACCTATAAACACAGCACTGTGGGGGGCTGAGGCAGGGGGATTGAGGTTGAGCCCAACTTGGGCAACTTAGTGATTTAGTGAGACCCTTTCTCAAAATAAAAAAAAGTCATAAAAGAGTTGGAGCACAATATGAAAGTTCTGGGTTCAGTCTCTAACACCATCAGTCAGTCAACTAATCAACCAATGTAAAGCAAAATAAAATAAAAATCCAGAAGTGTTGGGGAGGTAGCTAGGTGCAAAAGCCTTGGGTTCCATACTCAGTGCTACCAGAGGGGTGGGGAAGGACGGGATGTATTTCTTTTCAAATTTTCTGAGGAAAATCTAGAGAAAATAGGAGCAGTAGCTAAGACTAAAGACCAGCTGCATGGTGTTGGAGAAGCTGTTACCTGCTTTGTGTCGTCATACCATCTATAAAGTGGAGGTGGCAGTAGTAACCTGATCCTTTCTCATTTAAGTGAGGTGACTTTCAGTCTGTGTTAAGCCTCCATGCTTTTGTTCTCAGTGAAGGGGATGGAGGAGAATGCAGTGACCGTCCTTTGAACGTCCTCTGCAGATTGATAGAGCCGTCTTACAGTGTTTATCCTGCCTAGGAGTACAGATTTGTGATGTGAAACACTCTCCAGGGCGGGGCTGGGGATTTAGCTTAGCGGCAAAGCGCCTGCCTGGCAAGTGCAAGGTCGTGAGTTCAGTTCCCGGTACCGGAGAAAAACCAAAAAAAAAAAAAAAAAAGAAACACTCTCCAGGGCAAGAAATATTGAGTAAGGAAAGCAGTCAGGGCCAAGGAAAGGTTCAAGGGTAGAGCAGTTGTCCAGCATGTGAGAGGTCCTGGGTTCAATGCCCAGTACTGGGGGAAAAAAAGCAGATGTCAGTTACTTGTGAATGTTATCAAAGGTGCCTTGGCAGCAGTTTTTAGTTTTGAGGCTTTATATTTCCAAGGATCTGTTTATATGAACAGAGAATAGAAAGCTGGTAATAGCTTCAAATAATTCTATAAACGTCCATATTATAAAAAAAAATTGGTATCTTCATTAATATTGTCCATTTAACACCCTCTCTCATCAAATTCTTTAGTTTTCTATCATAGGAAGATCTCTCCCTCTAACTAGAGGGAAGGGGACGTCTCTGTCCTTCTGAGACTTTGTGTCTTTTTGAGACAGGGTCTCACTATGCAGTTCAGGCTGGCCTTGACCTTACTTTGTAGCCCAAGCTGGTCTCAAACTCACAAGGATCCTCCTGCCTCAGCCTCCCGAGTGCTGGGATTACAGGTGTGTGCCATCACGCCTGGCTCTGAGATTTTTTTTTTTTTCCCCCCTTTGGTACCGGGAATCGAACTCATGACCTTGCGCTTGCCAGGCAGGTGCTTTTGCCGCTGAGCTAAATCCCCAGCCCCTGAGATTTTGTTAATTATGAGGATTGGCAGTTTTCAGACTGAGTCAGCACTCAGAAGTTGCAGTCTCTATTCCCACCACCAAACAATACAGATGACAGCAAAATAAAATCAAAAACCAAAACCCCCCAAAGTTTAAATCAGGCCTGTGGATTTCAGCTTTCTGCTTTCCTGGCAGAAATTAGATGAGTATGATTCTTCTGGGTAGCAGGGCCCGAGTCTCACCTCCTAGAGTGACCGGGTGGAGACGGGGGACCAGTGTAAAACGCGAAGAACAACCCTAGTACAGCTGTTACAGCATTGCCGTCTCTGTCCCCTGTGTGCGCCTCAATATTCTTAATTTTCTCTAAACGTTGATCCTTTCCCCACTTGGTGCAAAGGAGGCAGCAACCCTGGCCATTTCCTTTTGAGCCTTGTGCCAGCTCCGCCCCCTGGAGCTGCATGGTCAGTGAGTCCCCACCCAACCCCGGTCTCACCCGTCAGCCTTTTCATCTCAGCCTTTTCATCTCACCCTTCTGAGCAGCTTGTCCGTCTCCCTGCTGGTGACTGGCACTGCCAGGCTTATGTCCTGGCACCCTCCGCCTGTTCATCTCATCCCCTGCAAATGGTTCTATGCAGCTTCTCTGATGCCAGGCACGGTCGAACATTCTCCCTTGAGTCAGTGACCTTCCTGCCTGCCCTGCTGCTGTTGCTCCTGCTCCTTCTTTTTGGGTTTCCTTTGTGTCCTGTCCTTAGCACTCTTTATTCTCTGTTCTGTCTTGGAAAAAACAGCCACTTTATTTTATCTATTTATTTATTTTTGAGACAGGGTCTTGCTGTGTAGCTCAGGCTGACCTTGAACTCACTGAGGCTGGCCTCAAGCTCATGGCAATCCTCCTGCCTCAGCCTCCCGAGTGCTGGGACTATAGGTATGCACCACCACACCCACCTAAAATGACCATTTTAAATACAGCCTATGTGCCACTGACGTGCAGGGCCCTGCCTCCACCTGCCCTGTGTGTCCAGGGTCCCAGGGGCATGTCCTTACCAGACATCCTGCACCTCACTGCTGCCCTGTGCCTCCACTGAATCTGCAGCTTTTTATACCATTCTTCCAGCTCTGCCCAGGCAAGGCAGGCCTGCAACTCACAATCTTCCTATCTCAGCTTCCCAAATGCCAAGATTATGGGCATGCACTGCCATACGAGGCTTCAACTCATCCTGCAAAGACAGCCAAAACATCTCTGTAAAAGCTTTTCCAGTCTCTAAGGAAGATTTTTTAAAAAAGCAATTGTAAAAAAAAAAGCAATTGGATTAATAGGCAAATAAAATGGGTGAAAAAGCCCTGTGTGGTACACTTCTTTAAGCAGGAGATCATGGTTCAAAGCCAGCCTAGACCAGATAGGGAGACACTGACTCAAAAAACCAAAGGGGGTAAAAAAGGGTGAAAAAAGGAATGAAGTGTTGGGTTAGATGATTCCATTCTAGATCGAAGAGTTTTGCATTCTCTTGGCTTTTTTCACTGGGTTCAGGAATTGTCCTTATCACTGCCTTAAGCTGTTTCCCATTACTATAATGAAATCCCCGTGAGTGGGTAACTTACAGAGGAGAGTTTTATTTTGGCTTACGGTTCTGGAGGTCCAGGACAGGGTGGTGTGGTGACAGCCGTCTTCCCCAGCAGAGTTCCAAGACAGTGTAGGGCAGGCCCTGGAGGAGATAAGGTGCACTCGTGTGTGTCCTGGTCTTTTTTCTGGTCTCCATGTTTTAAAATTTAATTTATGTATTTGTTTATTTTTGGTGCTGATGACTGAACCCAGGATTTGTGCATGTTGGGCAAGTGGCCTGTCACCGGGCCATACCCCCAGCCCTCTGGTTCTCACAAAGCCACCAGAGTCAGATCTTGGGGGCTCTACCCTGACAACCTTATGGAGAAATGGAAGGGCAGAGAAGACGGACATCACTAACCAACTTCCTCTTGTCTTTCAGTTTTATGCGTGTGAGATGGTGCTTGAGGAGGAGGGGATCTATGGAGGTGAGAGGAGATGAATGTGAGTGGGAAGAGAGGGAGAGCGAGTGGGAGGACGGACAGCTGCTGTCTCCCCCGCCAGCTTCTCCTCCTAGTTCCTGCGGATTGGGGGAGGGAGGGCAGAGGACACTGAGGACCCCGGAGGGGCTCCCGGGCTTGGAGCTGGGGGCCAGGAACTGCTGTTCTCACTTCCTGCTCCCGCCAGGAAAGGTAGGGGCTCCTTGCCTTGTGCATTCCACACTCCATTCTCCCTGCTGGATACCCTGCAGTGGCTCAGCGTAAAGTCCACATCCTTAGCGTGGCTTCTGACCCCTTCCTGCCCCTTTAGCTGCATCCCGTGATGCTTTTTCCTCACTGCCCTCCGCCCCTGGGACTTTGCACATGCATTTCCTACTGCTCGGAGTGTTTCCCATGCTACTACTTTTGGCCTCCACATGTCTCACGCAGGTTCTAAGTTTGTCACTTTTTTTTGTGCTACTGGGAATCAAATCCAGATATGTATTACCAGTGACCGCATCCCCAGCCCTTTTAAAATTAATTAATTATTTTGAGACAAAGTCTGTCTGTGTAGCCCAGGCTGGCCTTGAACTTGTAGTTATCCTTCTGCCTCAGTGTCCCAAGCGCAGGGATTACAGGCGTGTACCACCACATCTGGCTTATGTATTTCCTCTGAGACAGTGTCTTGCTAGTGCTGAAGTGAGACTTGAACTTTTGATCCTCCTGCCTCACCCTCCCCCAGTGCTGGGATTATAGGCATATAGCACTGCAGCTAGCTATTTATGCGCGGGAGTTGCTGTTTGATTTGTTCTAGGGATGGAGCTCAGGGCTCATGCATATTAAACATGTGCTCTAAACTGAGCTACACTCTCAGCCTGGGGTTTGTTTTGCTTCTCGAAAGCAGGACTGCAATTAAGTAGCTCGTGTCACAATGTGTCTGCTGCGTTTCCCTGCTGCTAGATCATAAGTGCCAGAAAGCTGAGACCGTCTCCCCAGTACTTAGCGTAGTCCAGTGAGTAGGTGAGTTGCAGTAAATATTTGTGAAGAGCAAATGAGTGAACGAATGTATGGTCAGGCCTCTAATAAAAACCCACTACTTAGCACACTGTGCTGCAGGCTGCCTTGTACAGGTTTCATTACCAGACTCTTCCCTTTTTTTTTTTTTTGTACTGAAAATCGAACTCAGGACCTTGCACTTGCCAGGCAGGCACATGTAGACTGATTTCTTTAACAGCAAAGACTGTTTCTTATGCTTCTTTGAGTCTCCAGCACCAAACACAGTACCTGGTGTGTGACAGGCACTCAAATGTTTGTTGTATGACTGGCAGGCCTTCTCTGAAAGCCTGATGTGCTGTGTCCCCACAGACGTGAGCTGTGATGAATGGGCCTTCTCTTTGCTGCCTCTTGATGTGGATCTGCTGAGCATGGAGCTGCCAGAATTTTTCAGGGACTACTTTCTGGTAAATACAGAACCCCTGATCCTGGCATCAAGAAACAGGGACAAATATGTGGGGTAGAAATACTGATTTAACCTTTGTCCAGGGGCTGGGGATTTAGCTCAGCGGAACAGCACCTGCCTGGCAAGCGCAAGGTCGTGAGTTCAGTTCCTGGTCCCGGAAAAAAACCCAAAAAAATAAAAAAATAAAATAACGTTTGTCCAACACATAATTTATTGCAAGTGAGTGGTTTGGTAATTGACATATACAGGTTGATCCGGATGAGTCTTCCTTTGGGACCAGTACAAACTCTTCCAAGCATTCCCCAGACTGCCGTCCTGCCGCGGGGCTTCTAGGGCTATCCACTCTCCAGGGGCCCTGTTGGATTGACCCATGTCTTTGTGGCCCTGCAGGAAGGAGATCAGCGTTGGATCAACACTGTGGCTCAGGCCTTGCACCTTCTCAGCACTCTCTATGGACCCTTTCCAAACAGCTATGGGATTGGCAGGTGTGCCAGGGTAAGAGCATTTGCAGTCTTCATCCCTGGAGCCCTGGTTCTCCCTGTTTTGTACGCAGCAGTGATTATGCATGGGCATCTGTGGTGCATATGAGATGTATTCACCTTGCTCTTATGTTCCAGTGTAGTCCAGTGACAAGAATTGTGTGGCTGACAGAAAAGCAAGAGCTAGGGCCCTGGGTGGCACCTTACATCTTTTCATCTTCGGGCAGGGTAACCCCCTCATCGGTGTGGGGAGTGGCAGAGAGAGAGGAGCAGAGGGGACAGTGGGTTCATTTTGGTCATGATTAGCCCCCTTCCTGGGGGCCAGACAAAGTGCCGCTGGAAAGGGTTGGCTTGTGTAGGGATGGGGCTGCAGTAGGGACCTGGACATAAAGTGGAGAATGCTTTGGGCCTTGGCAGATGTCATATGAATTGTGGCGGAAGCTGGAGGAGGAGGAGGAGAGTGAAACCAAAAGCCGAAGGCCAGAGATCGGACACATCTTTCTCCTGGATAGAGGTCAGTTGTGCCCCGCATTCCTCTGTCTTTCGGTCCTGCAAGACATGGGAGCTTGGAAAGTGTGGTGGCAAAGTCCAGGTGTGCAGGTTAGGGCTGTGAGTCCCTGCAGTGACCAGAGCATAGGCACCTGGGCTCAGTGGAAAGGATTTGAACTGGTATCTAACAGAATGGGCAAGAGGAACCCTCACGGTCTGGATCTTGGTTTCAGACATGGACTTTGTGACGGCACTTTGCTCCCAAGTAGTTTATGAAGGGCTGGTGGACGACACCTTCCGCATCAAGTGTGGTAAGTGGCCTCATCCTCAACGTCTTGGCAAAGCGGAAGTGGCCGTCAGCCTCTGGGGCTTCCTGTAGCGAGGCTGTGCTTGTGGAAGAGACCCTGACTCGGAGTCCATTGCTGGTAATGGGCACTTTTCCTGGCAAGAGGAGGCCTCCTTGGACTTCCTAATAGTCCTGTCCTCTGCTCTCAAAGGGAGTGTCGACTTTGGCCCAGAAGTCACGTCCTCTGACAAGAGCCTGAAGGTGCTGCTGAATGCCGAGGACAAGGTAAAGGCTGGGCACTAGCAGTGACTTACACAGGGCTGGGCCCAGCCCCGGGAGGAAGGGTTCCTGTCAGAGCATGCCAGTTGTCCCTGTCCTGCCATTCTGCCGGTGATGTGAGAAGGGACAGTTTACAGTTCTGACACAGTGAGCCGTGTCTGCCTCTCCCCTCACAGGTGTTCAGTGAGATTCGCAATGAGCATTTCTCCAATGTCTTTGGCTTCTTGAGCCAGAAGGCGCGGAACCTGCAGGCCCAGTATGATGTGAGGCCACACCCCCTGCTCCTCTCTTCGGTTTCCACAGTGGCTCCCCGGGCTGCTGCCCCTGGGCTCCCCTCCTGATATGGTGACAGGCCCCTGTCTCCTCTCACGGGTGGTAGCAACAGAGAAGTGTGGTGGCTTCTCGTGTGAAGTCGGGGGTGTTGACCTTATGGGGACGTCCCCACAGCGCCGGAGAGGCATGGACATCAAGCAGATGAAGAACTTTGTGTCCCAGGAGCTTAAGGGCCTGAAACAGGAGCACCGCCTGCTGAGTCTCCGTAGGTGCCAGCTGGGGGTGCAGGGGGAGGTGACTGTACCCCCGGTGGACAATGCTGAGGGTCTTTGCCTCCCAAGAGGAGACCCATGGTTGTTGGTGGGTAGTGGTCTCCTTTGGTCCCAAATGGGAAGGAGTGGTTCTGAATTTTGCCTTAAGATACTGTCCTTCTGGACAGTAAAGAGACATCCTTCTAGAAGCAGGAATGTCAGCTCCCTTTTTGTCGTATCTGCAGATATCGGGGCCTGTGAATCAATCATGAAGAAGAAAACGAAGCAGGACTTCCAGGAGCTGATCAAGACCGAGCATGGTACCTGCAGCAGCCTCCCTGACTTCTGCTCCTGCTCCCACAGCCCCGCCTCCCAACCCCAGATGCTCTCCGGCTCCTCCCAGCTCACATTGGCTATATGAGATGCTGCTTCCTGTGAGGAGTCCTTGGGTCGAGGAGTCCTGGGGTTCATCAGTCCACCCCCAAACATGGAGGAAGAGATGGGGAGAGAGCTGCCTGTTAGCATAGAAGGCAGCATCTGAGCTGACCCCAGTAACAGGTGCTCCTTGTCCCCACAGCACTGCTGGAAGGTTTCAACATCCGGGAGAGCACCAGCTACATCGAAGAGCACATAGATCGGCAGGTGAGTGGCTGAGACCTTGGGGAACAGTGCTGGGGTGGGGGTGGGGCGAAGCGGAAGGAAGAGAACAGCTCTCCTTGACCCTGTCTTCCTCACAGGTATCACCCATAGAAAGCCTTCGCCTTATGTGCCTCCTGTCCATCACGGAGAATGGTGAGCCCAAAAGCTGGGAGATGAGGATGACATCTGTGCCCCAGACAGAAGACAGGATTGTAATAGACAAGTCTTGTAGGAGCAGGATGTTTCCCTGTAGCTTCGTGGTTTCTTCGAGAAAATAAAGCAGCGTTTAGCCAAGCATGGTGCAGTGTACTTGTGATCCCAGCATTCTTACAGGCTAAGACAGCAAGATCACAAGTTTGAGCCCAGCCTGGGCAATTTAGGGATTTAGCAAGGTTCTGTCTCAAAATAAAAAATAAGACACTCGTGGTGGCACATGCCTGTAGTCCCAGCACTCGTGAGGCTGAGGCAGGAGGCTGCTATGAGGTCGAGGCCAGTCTGGGCTACATAGAGAGACCTGTCTTAAAAAAAAAAAAAAGACTAGGGATGCAGCTTGTTTAATGCCTAGTACTGGGGGAAAGATTCTTTTGCAATTCTTGCTGTGGGTGACTCCCCACCAGGTCATAGGGTGATTAATTGGCCCATCCCTAAGCAGCAGGGCTGTGCCCATTATGGCTCAGGGCAGCAAAGGTGTGGAGCGGTGTGGCATTTCTCTGTAGCTTCAGCTGCCTCCTGTGTAACAGTTTCATGATAAAATTATATACATTCTAGGAGAAAGGGGCAGCCAACTAATTTCATAAACATTTCCCAAAGCCCAGAGTCTGTTGCCTTTCACAGCAGTTTGTTTTTACTGTTGAAATCTTCCAGTTTGGTCAATATTCTTTAAGGTTGCTTCCTACCTAGAGAAGTCCTCTGCCTATTCTAAATCACCTTGACTGTACTGTAGTTGGAAGTCCTTTTTTTTTAAACCTTTTTGAGACAGGGTCCCACTGTGTGGTCCAGGCTGCTCCTGAAAATCACTGTGTGGCCCAGGCTGGCCTCAAACTCATAGCAGTCCTCCTTCGTCAGCCTCCTGAGTGACAAGTGCTGGGATTGTAGGCCTGCACCACCATGCCTGGCTGGAAGTCCATTTCTGTCTGGAAGAAACATGAGACCATACTTGGAAGCCATTTTACTCTTCCTGTTTCTCAGGAGCTATGAAGCAGTTCCCAGAACTGCCTCGTAGCTGGAAAGACAGGAGAAACCCCATTTGCTTCCCCTGCTACCTCCCCAGCCGCAGCTTCAGCAGCAGCAGCCCGTACCCTTTCCACAGCACCCTGTGGCCAGAATGGAACTCTGTGGCTGGCCTTTGTCTTTAATAAACAAGCTTAAATTCAGCGTTCAGTTCAGAATCAACTATACCTTATGCAGGACTAACACATACTAAACCCTTCCTCCTGATGACAGTGGTGTTGGTGCTTTTGCTGGGGGTTTTAGGAACCTCAGGAGGCCTCTTACACACCCTCTTAATTTCTCACCTTTAGGTTTGATCCCCAAGGATTACCGATCCCTGAAAACACAGTACCTGCAGGTGAGGCCTGGAGAAGTTGTTCTTAAGGGAACTTGCTGGAGGGGGATTTTGGAGCAGTTTTGAAAAAGGCACAGGAGAAATGGCCCTTGTCCTCCCCTCCCCCATCCTGTTTCCATCCTAGCCCTCTTCTAGCGGTGCTAGCAAGAGTCCCTCTCAGCACACCCTGCCTCTCATGGTGGGTGGCCTGGGCCAAGAGAATTTAAACAGTTCAGCTGCTAAACCCAGCGAGTTTTTCTGCCTAGGAATCCGCTGACTTCAGCACCCTGTGAGGCCCTGATTTAATTTGTCTTCCTGATCTTTCTCATGTCTTACTTCATCTGTGAAGCTTCCTGACCACCTTTCCATCACAGCCTCCTCTGTCCTATAAGAGTTTCAAGCTGCATTTTATTCCTCTTTGTTTGGTGTTGGGTTATTCCTTTTCTATTCTGTGTGTGTGTGTGTGTGTGTGTGTGTGTGTGTGTGTGTTTGGAGATACTCTCACTATATAGTTCAGATTGGCCTTGAATTCACTATGTAGTCCAGGCTGACCTTGAACGTGTGATTATCTTGCCTCAGCCTCCCACATGCTGGGATTATAGACTTGTGCCACTGTGCCTGGCTTGGTGTTGGGTTATCTCTGATGTGAAAATCCTGCATACAACAAAGTCCAAGCTCTTACAGGGCAGAGGTTTCAGATCAGGCTGTGAATTCCTTCTCCCCTCACCTCCGCATCACCTAGCAGGACCAGACTCTTACCAGACACTCAGTAAATAGCTGATTGCATTTCCTTTAGAGCTACGGTCCTGAGCACCTGCTGACCTTCTCCAATCTGCGGCGAGCCGGGCTCCTTACGGAGCAGGCCCCTGGGGACACGCTCACAGCAGTGGAGAGTAAAGTGAGCAAGCTGGTGACCGACAAGGCTGTAGGTGAGCAGGGCGCATGGGTGCCCGGCGGCTGTTCCCTCTCCTCCAGCTCCACAGAGCCCTGGGAGGAAGAGGCAGGGGGAGGGAGAATGTGATCCCTTCCTGTTGTGTCGTCACCACTGCTACTTCACTAGGAAGAGCAGTTTCCATGTACTGGACACTTATCCTGGCCTATGCTGTTGGGGGTAATTTCTCATTTAATCCTCAAAAAGACTGAGTTAGGTTTTCTTTCCCCACTTTATAGGGGAGGAAACTGAGGTTTACAGAAATTAAGAGCCTTTTCTAAGGTCCCATGGGTAGTAGGTCAGGTCGGTAGGACTCAAAAGCTCTGACACTTAACCCATAAACTGGGGTCACCTTGTGGACTGCACGTAACAGGTGGGGATGAACTATAGGGGGAAGAAGACGGAGGGTGGGGAATGGTGTGCCGAGAGTGTCTTGGTCAGCTCCAGGGAAGTGTAGTGAGTCGTTCCAAGGGGGTCTTCAGACATGCTGGTCCTGTCCTGTCTTGAACGGGGACCCCTGTGCAGTGGGGTGGTGTCACAACTACCTGCATCTTTGATGGAACCCAGCAGTTTTCTTCCCCAGGAAAGATTACTGATGCCTTCAGTTCTCTGGCCAAGAGGAGCAATTTTCGTGCCATCAGCAAAAAGCTGAATCTGGTATGTGGACCACAGCTGGATGGGAGGCTACAGATTATTCCTCTGTGGAGTACTTTGAACCCATAAAAACCATTTGCTCTCGGTTTTAGGAAGATCCCTTGGCAGCCTTATAGGCATGAGCTTAATTTGAGACAAGACAAAAAGATTGACTTACTAACAAACACAACACGTGCCAGTGAATACCTCTTTTTCTTTCTTTCTTTCTTTTTTTTTTTTTTTTTTTTTTTTTTTTTTTTTTTTTTTGTTTTTGTGTTTTTTTGTTTTTTTTTTTCAGTACCGGGAATCAAACTCATGACCTCATGCTTGCCAGGCAGGCGCTGTGCCCCTGAGCTAAATCCCCAGCCCGAGCCAGTGAATACAGGGAAGCATGAGTTCTTGTGCTCCCCTGAGGGGAAGGGCCAGGAAAGGGGAGCCAGGAAAGGGGGACCCCCTCCTCCAGCCCCTTCACAGGCAACTAGGGAAGACTGGCAGAGAATGGACAGGTGCTGAACGCAAGTGGTCGTCTTGGTGATGGATTCCTTGTTTATGGGACTGTTGCTGGTTCTCCCTTACGGGAAACAGGAACTGTCGTCTGGGACGTGCTGCTCTTGTCTGACCCTTTGAAGGGTCACAGCTGAGTTGTCACTTGCCTGGTGTGGCACCTCTGCCCTAGATCCCCCGTGTGGATGGCGAGTATGACCTGAAAGTGCCCCGCGACATGGCGTATGTCTTCAGCGGCGCTTATGTTCCTCTGAGCTGCCGAATCATCGAGCAGGTGGGAACAGCCACGCTTGGTCCTGTTTTCATTCTCTGCTTCCCCGTGCTCCCTGGCTCACCCCAGCTCTTTAATGCTCGTAACTAGCAGGAAACACGACAGCCTGGCTGCTGTGCCCTCCTTCCCTATGCCCGGTGCCCCTGTGGACTTGAAAGCAGTGTTTGCGTCTCCCCAGGTGCTGGAGCGGCGGAGCTGGCAGGGCCTGGAGGAGGTGGTGCGGCTGCTCAACTGCAGCGAGTGCTCGTTCACAGGTGTGAGGCGTGGCAGGAGGGCGGGGGCGTCACGTGCTGCCCATGTTCCCGCGGGCGCTGAGGTGACTAATCTTCACAGACATGACCAAGGAAGACAGGGCTTCCAGCGAGTCCCTGCGCCTCATCTTGGTGGTGTTCCTGGGGGGGTGCACGTTCTCGGAGATCTCAGCCCTGCGGTTCTTGGGCAGAGAGAAAGGTAAGAGAACAGAGGGCGAGGAGAGGGGCTGGGGATTTAGCTCAGTGGCACAGCGCCTGCCTGGCAAGTGCAAGGTCATGAGTTCGGTTCCCGGTACTGGAAAAAAACAAACAAAAAAACCAGAGGGCGAGGAGAGGCCTGCGTGGGTTCTGGGGCCCCACATGGGAAGGCTTTTCTCCTGGCCTGGTGCTCCTCGCCACAGGCCTGCTGCTGCCAGTCCCCCTGCCTTGGCAAGTGTGTGGTGCCCAAGAGCCTGGTCCTGACATCTCTGTGTCTATACTGGTTCTTTCATCCAGCGGGCACGGAGGACTCGGGGGCTCCGTGGCCCGCCCTTAGTTGCTTCTGCCGGTGCTCTTGGCTCTTCAGGGTACAGGTTCATTTTTCTGACGACAGCTGTCACGAACAGTGCTCGCCTGATGGAGGCCATGAGTGAGGTGAAAGCCTGAGTGTTCCCAGCCAGCGATCAAGGCTTCCCAAGTGTCCCCCCGGGCAGGCATGTGGCACCCAGCTGCTGATACGGCTCCCCTGCTCCGAGCTGGGGAGCCTGGAACTTAGCTGGGACTCTGAGAACATATCTAAAGAGAGTGTTCGTGTCCTGTCTCTGGACTGGTCCTCGAGTTTGTTCGCAAAGTACTGTATGGTCCATGCTGCTGAGATATGTGGGAAAGAGGTATCCTTTGCTAAATCCCATTTGAATATCACTGTAAATAAAGACTCTGTAAATAAAGCCTTGTAGTTCTGGACCTGTGCTGCTGCTTCTGTTAGTGACCGCGCAGTGGGGCCAGTCTTGGGGCCTCAAATGCTGACTCCCAGAGAGCTCTTCTTCCTTACACGTCTCTCACAGCTCTGTACCAGAGCTTCCTCAGCCTGAAATAAGGAAGGTGGATTAGTTGGTTAGCAAAGAGCTTTTTTTGTTTATTTGTTTTTCCAGTACAAAGGATTGAACCCAGAGCCTTTACTCTGAGCTACATGTCTGGCCCCTTTTTATTTTTTATTTGAGATAGGGTCTTGCTAAGTTGCCTAGGCTGGGCTTGAACTTGGGATCCTCCTGCCTCAGCCTTCCAGATGCTGGGATTACAGGTGTGGACCACTACTCCTGGCTCTTTCTTACTTTAATCTTTTAAAAATTGCATGCATTTCTGTCTCTTTTCAGGCCTTTTCTAACTTGATCTCACTGATGACCACGCTTTCTTTCTTGATTCTGTTATTCTGCTCCTGGGACTGTCATTTTTGTCCTCCTGCAGTCTTTGGGTTGTCTCATCTATTTCTGGATCTCAAGCTTCCATCTTCCTCCTGAACTTCACATGAGGGTTTCCTACCTGGTCATTCCACAAATTCATCATGTCTAAAATTAAGTCACATCCAGGTGTGGTGGTACATACCTGTAATCCCAACACTAGGGAGGATGAGGTAGAAGGATCTCCATGAGTTTGAGGCTAGCCTGGGCTGTACAGTGAGTTTAAGACCAGCCTGAATTACAAAGTGAGACTGTCTTAAAAAGAGAAAAAAAAAAAAAAAGTAAAGTTAACTAACTTTGAATCCCTAAATCTGCACCTCTTCATTACTTCCTTGATCGACATTTTCATCTATCCAGATTTTGTTCCTATAAGAAACAGTGTTTCCAGGCATGGTGGCACACACTTGTAATCCCAGCATTTGGGAGGCTGAGGCAGGAGGATCATCGCGAGTTTGAGACCAGCCTAAGCTATAAAGTGAGCTCAAGGCCAGCCTGAACTGCATAGTGAGACCCTGCCTCAAAAAGCAAAAAAAAAGAAAGAAAGAAAGAAAGAAAGAAAGAAAGAAAGAAAGAAAGAAAGAAAGAAAGAAAGAAAGCCTTGACCTCAGATTTACTCCTTTTATCCCATATTTAGCTGGTCATCCTGTCCTATTGGTTCTTATTTTGAAACCTGTGTAGATCCTCCTCTCTCTGCATCCTCATGGCAGAAGTCTTTGTCTCTTGCCTGGGTTTTTGCAACACCCTGTCTCCATCTGTCCTTCACCCCACAGTGCTACCACTTACCAAGAGAAAGAAAACATCAAAACCTGTGTGATTGCATTCTTTCCACAGACGAATGGTAATGCTGTATCAGAATACATTCCAAGGAAAAGGCAAGTCTTAAATGTTCTGTTGGGCTAGTGTGCAGGACTGACGATACTCCTGACAGTTCTGTCAGTCTACAGAAGGAACATGTGGCATCAGAAAGACCCTATGTCAAGTAAAATAACTGTCACAGCACATGTGCTCACACTCAAGGGGACACACAGTACGGCCCTCTAACAGGGTCACATGCACATGATATGTGGTGTTTTTACCTGCTGTGTATGTGCTGTGAATGGCAAAGATACGAGCTTCAGAGCTACAGTGTAAAAAGACCTGAGAGGGCCGGGGATATAGCTCAGTGGCACAGCATCTGCCTGGTAAGCACAAGGTCCTGAGTTTGATTCCCAGTACCAAAAACATAAAAAAAAA